ATATTGTTAGCTTTATTTCCGATTGCCTCTCCCAGTTCTTGGTTATGGACTATATTTACCAGTGGATTAATTCGTCTTCATGCTTTGCGGGCTTTTACTTAATGTTGAATTTATATTCACTTTCGAGTTATGTGGGCTGGTTTCTTTATAGATTTTGGTTCGTTCATCGTCAACCTAGGTGTGGCTGGCTCAATGAAGGATTGTTTCATTTCAGTATTACTATTTTTTTTTTTTTTTTTTTTTTTTTTTTTTCTATTTTAAATGATTGGACTAGTACATATTTGTTTAGGCATCCATGGGTCCGATTGGTTTGAGGGTTGTTAAGTCTCCTAGTTTTTTGGTGATTTATAATTTACTTTCTTGGATGGTCTCTCCAAGAAATCACATTGATTGGAACAAAAGAATGCATTATGAAATAATCTTTTTTGAATCCCTATTCATTTTGATTTTTTTGTGTTCATTTATTTTTAATTATTGCACTATTGTTGTTCTACATTTGGCTAATTACTTATTGATCTTTAGGGAGGATAGGCTGCAGATGGATGGTATCCTTTGGCTTTTTATTTTGATTAGTTCTAAACCTTCATATATCCTAGTTTACTTTTTCTAGTTTTGTAGATTGATTATTATGCAGATTGAAGGAGTCGAGAATTTTTGTAACATGATGGATAATTTTGGTAGGAAGACTACGCTGAATTTGTTGACTATTTTTTCCTTTTTGGGTGTTGTCCTCTAGTAGACCAAGAATGTTATTAAGTTTTTTGGTAAATTATAGAAAAGGGAACCATTGGCTCTAATGTTTTCTTTTGATTTGTTTTGTAGCTCTTTTGAGCAGTAGCAAGGTAAAGGTTCCTTTTAAGGACCTAGTAATTTGGTTTTATATTAACGTGAAGGCCCTTTTGTGGGTTTTCCCTTAAAAAAGTATCATTCCAATTTATCTGAAACCTTCTAAACCTTCACTTAAACATGAATAAATTCTTTAACCCCATGGTGAGCTATGGTTTACCATGGTTAACTATGGATGATAAAAACTCCCTTAATGGCCACACTAACTTAAATGAACCATTCATACATTTCATTATTTGTGGAACTTGGTATGCCAAAAAATGTCTTGCAATAAACCAAATAAACCATTTGAAACCCACTGGGACCATTTCTTAGTCCTGATTAAACTTGGTTGGCTAAGTAAACCTACATTGACCATAAGACCCTTATGGGTTTTCTACATGCATTCTATAAGGCAATGTGGACCTTATAACCAAACCATAAAATAGGTTTATTAGGTTTCAAAGAGCCTAGTGGATGCTACCTAATTCTTGGGCCCAATAGGATATTCCAAGTTGTTGATATGGGTTATTTAGTCAACGATGTGAGCTACACATAGTGCTAGATTACAATATGAATATACTTAGGCCTCTATTGATAATAAAGTAATGAAATCCTACTTAATATGCAATTATATCTGCCAAATAAGTAATAAAATGATAGATAATAGTGTCGATCCCATGAGGAAGTATTCTGTTTAATTAGACAATATCTAATATATATATATATATATAATTCATCCTACTGAATGAAAAAATGGTTGTTTTGGTGTTTTTACCATTTAATAGAGACTTGTAAGAAAATTTTATACTAATATAAATAAGGTATTTTTGACAAATGATTATAAAACAACATATCATTCCTAATAATACTCTTAATTTTAGATGTGGCTCAGAACAAAGGTATAACTAGATCTCTATCTCTCTTATTTGAGTGAAAAGGTAGGTTTATGGCCTTCCAAAATTTTTTATATCTCCAAATAGTATAGAAGGTTTAATATCCTATGTCTAGGTTTGCCAACATTTTAGTTCAATAATCCTATTCATTCCAATATTTCTGCATCGAGGAAATACAACAAACTAGGTATCAACTACATACATAGCCATTATATGCTTTAAATTAAAAAAGAGATATTTTGAAAACATTTATAAACTAATTCAAGTCCAAGAGTCTACAGTAGTATTTACTACACATTTACATTATTATACCAACTAAAACATTTAGCTGGGCATGAATATTACAAAAAGGAAAGCCTTGTTCTTTTTATTCATATATGAAAAAAGACACAAGAGACTTAATAAATATAATTATCAGGCTAAGATATCCAAATTAAAGTATCTTGGACCTCCTTGGTCTCCCTTAGACTTTACTCTAAGGGAGAATTGAAGGAAGACACTCAAAAGTAAAAAAATGCAACTAAAAATGACAAAACTCCTGCAACAAAAGCACTAACTTTTTACACAAGCGCATAAATATCCTCAGGCACTACGGCACCAAAAGTTTTATCATATGTATTTGTTCACACACCTTGACCTATTAGATCTAAATATTTGGATTCCTTTGAACTTGAACTTCCATAGATACCAAATTCAAAATTTACTTATCTTTTTTCCTTGTTCAAAATTATAATCTAACTCTTTTGTATTTTTTTTATTTTTTATACTTATGGAGTACATTTTAATGATTTTGAATATCAATTTGGCTTTTCATCCTCCCATAAACCTGATTAATTTACTAAGAATTTAATAAGATCCCTAATTCTATAGTTATGTTTACTATGATCATCCTAACTTTAGCTACCCACGTATTTTCCCTAAACTATGTTACTCATTCTTCAACTTAGTAGTCAGTGCATGAGTGTATAGTTTCTAAACTTAGAACAAGTCAATAACTTAAATTTTGAATTATTATGCATTATTTATTTAAACTATAGTCTACAGTTTAATAATTAAATTATTTTATATAACTTTTAATTATAATTTTTTATTTTTTCTAAATAAGAATTCAAAGTGAAAGGACTATGTTCAGGATAATTTTCTATAGTTAGGCATATGGGAATTTAAATTAAATGTAAATGAAATAGAAATAACTTATTGTACAAGCAAATATAAATGTTGAATATTAAAACAATTAACATGTCTTTTCAATTGAAGTAATAACACTAAGGACATTCTTAATGTAACACTACAAAATAATAGATACTAATGAATGAGCACTACTTCTGATCCATCTCCTTCTAAGATCCCAAAATGTAATGTTTTTACTATAATAACAATAGTTGCATTCTTGGCAACTTAACAACATCCAGTATCAAAAATGATTTTACAACATCACAGCACCTTGAAGATCCCCCAATAAAATAAACCAAAAAATAAAATAGAAAAAAGAAAACTTTAATGAACAAATAAAAGATAGCTACATCCTCGTCTCTCTCTCAAGCCTACTAGGATAAACAACAAAAGAAAAAAAAAAGAAAAAGACTACCATCACTTCTGAGTCACGATCCATCCTCACACGTTCTGTCCATTCATTAGCAATCACTACTCAAGATAGAGACCAAACAAATGAATTGTATTCAAGTGAAGTAGAGAAATATAACTAGTCTTGATTCTCCATAAGAGGATTGCTCGTGAATATCCTTACTAAAGCATCAGTGAATATTGTTGTATTATTGTAATATTTTTCCATCACATAATTCTAGTTGGCTTACAAGTGCCTACTATCCTCACATAATTCAATCACCTCATCCATATGCTCCTTAACTCATCCACCAACTTAACAGAAGATTTAGGAGTCTTAGACTCCTACTATAAATGATAATCACTATGAACACCCTCATCTACACCATATTTATTAATGCTTTCAATTTTTCTTATAGGAGGGCTAAAATGGGAAAAAGCTAGTCTTCACTAGAATCTTCCCTCGCAACGGCATTAAAACATAAAGATTAAATAAGAAAAGTATACGCCAAGTTCACAGAAGTAGTACCTCTAATAACATAAGTTAAGGGAAAATTAACAAGCATCCCCACATCAATAATGTAGCAAACTTGAATAGTATAATTAAGAGTAACACAGTCTTTGATTATATAGCTAATAGTTTTACTGGGCAAAAGTTGAGCAAAAAATAGTAATGCCAAAGTTTTTATAGTTAGCTTAAGCAAGATAAAAAAAATTAATAATTATGTTGTCCCTCTTATTCCATATAGCCCTATTATTAGGCTCAGACAAAACCCTTAAAATTTTCTTTTATTCAAAGGGTAAAAAAAGAATTCTGCTCATTAAATTCAAAATTTTGACACTTATATAAATGATTTAAGGTTATAGGATTAATGGGTACCCTGCCTCTCACATAACACCTATTATCCACTACCTCTTTACCATTAGTAAAGAATTCACTCACTACATTGATAACTACTACAAAGTGTTCCTCACACAATATCTCCCAACCCTAATTTATAATCATTTAAATTACCTTACCTCCAAAGTTTTGCAAACATCCCTTAGGTATCAACTGCACGGATACCACTATTATGACATACCTTTGCTCTATCAAAATATAAATTAATTCTCTTTTATTAGTGGACAATATAGCACACTTCTTTTTACCAAAAAATTTGTGTTTTATTTTTTTACAAAGCTCAAATAAAGAAATGGTTGAGAACTTAGAGATAATGAGGGATAATCTAGTGAAATTTTTTTTTCTAAAATAAGCATTTATATATATAAACATTATATGTGTAGTGGAACTCAAGAGATCGACACAATGACACTTAAAATTATTTACAATGATAATGAGTTAAATAAATAAGCACTATAGTAGTACGAGATATCTGATTCTACAAAGTAAGCATTGTAAAATAATGCACTAGATTTTTTATAAGGGAAACATAATGACACTTAACATGCACAAGAGTTATGGTACATACAAAGAATATTGTTTTTCCAATTGTTAGTACTGAGTTAGGAAGGCAGTGGTCTTCTTTCGGTAAATTCCATATTACTATGCTCGGAATGGACTGGGTTTTATGTTCTTTTTATGAAGAAGAGATTATGGAAGAGGTCTTGTCTAATGGGCCTTATTTTGTCAACGATTAAATTATTGGATTGGACAAATGGACGCCGAACTTCAACCCAAATTCTTTAAAAGGTCTTACTGCACCTATTTGGGTTAGAATGCCGAATTTACCTCTTCAAAGTTGGGATGAAATAAATATTTGTAGGATTGCCTCTAAGATTGGTAAACCTATCTTGATTGATGCTAATATGTTCCAATGGGGGAGAAGAGAGTTCGGTAGAATTTGTGTCCGTATCAATTTGGATACTCAACTCCCTCTTGGTGTTTGGGTTGAAGGAAGCACAGGTAAATTCTTCCACAAATTGGAATATGAAAGGCTTCCTAACCTTTGTTTTGATTGTGGAAAACTTGGTCACTTGAAAAAAGATTGCAAAGATAAGAATTTGGAAGGAATCAATGGTCCAGCAGGAAATAATGTGGTTCAGGATAAGAATAGCTTAAATACCAATAATACTATTGGTTCATCTATGAATGCTGAGAAGACAAATGAAGGCTACGGACCATGGCTACTTGTGAATTATGGGAAAAAAAAATTCATAAACTTTGGTTTCAGGAATTTTATCTCTAGAAGCAAAGAAGTTAAGGGATCTAATGATGCTGTTGGCTTTTCAGATAATTCTAATCAAAGCTTAATGAAGAATGGCAAGAAGATTTGGAAAGAGGTTGGTTTGATGAATACAGAGAATTCAATAGGTCTTGATAAGGAAGATTTGGAACCTCGACAGAAGCCAGAATGCTACTACTGGATCAAAGGTAAATGAAGTATCTCTTAATTTATCGAATATTGATGTTAGTAATAAATTCGATTTACTAGACAATCAGCTGGAGGAAGGAGAAATTGTAAATTCTGGAGGCATTCTGGATTTTGTTAACAGAGATGATTTGATGGCTGTAAATTTTACACAAACTGATGGATTGGCGGATAAAGAGGATGTAATGAAGAAAGATAATTCTTCTAATTTGAAAAGAAAAGGCTCCAATCAACTTAAAGGGCTTGGTCCTTTTAAATTGGCTCCTAGGAGTAGGAGAGCTGAAGGAGATGTTAAGGATAAGTTGGGGATTTTTTCCCCTCTTGTTCAATGAATTCTTCCATTATGTTTTGGAATTGTAGAGGAGCTAGGAAGAGAAAGGCTTCTCTATACTTGAAGGAGGTGGTGAAAAATCATGGTATTTTTTTCATTGGTTTACTTGAAACTAAAGTTATGAATTTTGATAGAAAGGATGTGGATCTTCTGATTGGTCCAGATTGGGACTTCTTTCATGTTCCTTCAGATGGTTTATCTGGAGGTTTGCTTGTTCTTTGGAAGGCTAACTTTGTTAGATTCCATATTGTGGAATTCTGCTCTCAATTCATCCTAGGTGATTTGGATATTCCTAATAAAGGGATTTTGAGTATTGCTTCTATTTATGGCAAGAAAGATGTTTATAAGAGAAGGAGGATTTGGGAAAGGTTGGAAGTTCATTCTTCTAAGGATCTTCCAATGGTTTTGGGAGGTGATTTTAATTGTATTCTTTCTAAAGATGACAAGAGGGAAGGAAAAAGATTCTTGTTTTCCCTTGGGCCCAAGGAGATGAAGTCATTTCTTGCTGTTAATGACTTTCATGAAGTTGGTTTTGTGGGGTCTAAATTTACATGGTGCAACAACAAAAAAGGTGGAGATCGAATTCTAGAAAGGCTTGATAGATGCTTTCTAAATTCGGTGGCTTTGAACTCTCCTCATAGATTGTTGGTGAGACACTTGGCTCGGATTTCTTCTGATCATTGTCCGGTGGTGTTAAATCTTATGGTGCAGAATTCAGCAAAAAAATTTCTCAGATTTGAAGAAGTTTGGGCTTCTAACAAAGCTTCGATGGCTGTTATCAAAGGCACTTGGAGGAAAGAAGTTGATGGAAGCTTCTCACAGATTTTGAATCTCAAAATGGAGAAAACACTTAAAAATCTTTATTATTGGAGTAAGGCTAAGCATATCAGCCTTGTTAAGCTGAAAGAGGATCTGTTAAAGATTATTGAAAATCTTCAAACTAAAGAAGCAAACGAAGGTGCGTTATCTGAGGAGGAGAGTTGGCTTTTGAAAGTGAAAGTCGGTGAATTGAATTCTACCCTTGCAAAGCTGGACACTTGGTGGAGGCAAAGAGCAAAAGTTAAATGGTTGGTTGAGGGGGATAGAAACTCAAGGTTTTTTCAAGCTTATGCTTCAGCTTGAAGGTGTTCTAATTATATTGCTAAAATTAAAGATGAAAATGGGATCCTAGTTGAAGATCAACATCAGATAGAAGAATTGTTGATTCAATTTTTTAAAAACAAATGGAAGCATAGGAATTGAAATCTGTTGGATTGGCCTGATCCGTGGAGGAGATTGGAAGATGGGGATAGAGAACTTTTAAACAAGGCTTTCTCTATTCAAGAAATGGAAGAGGTGATCAAATGTAGCGGCTGCAACATTTCCCCAGGAAATGATGGTATTACCTTTTCATTCTTTAAAGCTTATTGGGAGATTATTAAATTTGATCTATGGAATGCTATCAATTTCTTCTTTAATATGGCTTATATGGATCCTAAATGGAAGGAAACTTTTATTGTTCTTATCTCAAAGACTAACAACCCCTTGTCTCCCAATAACTTTAGACCAATTAGCTTGTGTAATTCGGTCTACAAGTTAGTTGCTAAAATGTTAATGAATAGATTGTCTTCTTGCATTCCTAAGCTCATTTCGAATGAGCAAGCTGCATTTGTGAAAGGGAGATCATTATCTTATCATATTTTGGTGGCTCAAGAAATTATGCACAAGTTCAGAAGTTCAAAATCTAAGAAAGGGCTGGTTGCTTTCAAAATAGACATGGAACAAGCCTATGATTCTATGGGTTGGAAAGCACTGGAAAAGGCTATGGTGTACTTCGGCTTCCCAATTGGTTTTATTAATCTGATAATGGAATGTGTTAGAGATTCAAAATTCTCTATTTTAATAAATGGAAATTACTCTGATTGGATAAATGGGGAAAGTGGTTTTAGACAAGGTTGTCCCTTGTCACCATTCCTTTTTATCCTTTGCTCTCAATTGTTATCAAATGCCTTCAAACTTAAAGAGGATTCTATTGGGGTCCGGTTAAATACGAATGGGCCTAGAATCTCACACTTACTCTATGATGATGATGTTTTTATCTTTTCTGAGACTAATTTGAAGATTATCAAAGAAATCAAAATGATCTTGAAGAAATTTTGTGGTTGGTCAGGCCAAAGGATCAACACTTCTAAGTCCTCCATGATTTTTGGAAATTCTGTTAATATAACTACAAAGAAAAGAATATCTCGATTTGTGGGCTTCAAAGTTGTAAAGGAAATGTTCTATCTTGGGGTCAAACTAGCTTTGAGAAGATTAAAAAGAGAGGACTTCCATTTCATCATTGAAAAGGCTATCAAGATGACTAACGTTTGGGGAGCCAAAATGATTTCTTTACCTGGTAAAATTTTACTTACCAAATCCAATCTTCTTGCTTTTGTTACTTTCCAATGCACCAACTCTTTGGTTCCAAAGAGTATTCTCGATGAAATAGACAAGATTTGTAGAAACTTCATATGGAATAAAGCTAATTGGAGTCACGGTATTCATTTTGTCAATTGGAATACTATGTGTCTTCCTAGAAAATGGGGAGGTAGATCTCTTTACTCTTGTTCTTCTAAAGTGGGAGCTTTGAGAGCTAAACTAGCATGGAAAAATGTTGATAACAAAGAATCCTTAATTCATAAATTGTTGTACTCCAAGTATGGAAATCTGTGGTAAGATAATTCAAGAATTGCGAATTCATCAGCATGGAAAATTATCAAAGATGGTGGCAAAGCTCTAAAACCGTTGATAAGATGGAGTATTGCAAATGGAGAGGGAATTGATGTATTCAAAGATACCTGGATTTTTGATAAAAATATTTGTAATTGGCCTACCTTTATCATTCCTCATGACAGCAACAACCTGAAGGTTTCTAACTTTATTTCCAACGGGACTTGGAAGGAAGAAGAATGGATGAAATTTGTAAGCAAGGAGCTGTTCAATCTGATCTCACAAATTAAAATTCAGCCGAATATGGAGGAAGATAAGATGGAATTACTGTATTTTAATACAGGTAAATCATTATCTGCAATGGTTTTTGAATATACGTTGAAGAACAAATGTGTGTAGCAGTACTAGAATTGGATTCATAAAGGAAAGCTGAATCCGAGAGTTGAATTTTTGTGGTGGAGAATCTTCAACAAAGCTCTTCCAACTGCTCATTTTCTTGAATATAGAAGGCTTCTTAGTAATGGGAATTGTCCTAGAGGTTGTAATGAACCTGAAAATGAAGATCATATTTCGGTGAGATGTACTAAACTAAAAGAAGGTTTAAACCAACTTAGCAAATGGGGTTTTTCTATCCCAAATATGGGTTTCTTATCAGAATGTTGTAATTGGATGTCAAATAAGTCTGCTTTCATGATTAATCTTTATTGTAGTATGGTTTATTTTACATGGAAGTCAAGAAACAAGTTGGTTCATAGTGAAGGTGAAGACAGCTCCTTGATTATTGCATCTAATGCCTTGAGCTTTGCTTCTTTTTCTATGGATGGATTTGGTAAAATCTCGGGTATATGGGATACTAATCAGTCTTATGGACTGTTCAATACTCATTGGTATCCTCCTCCACCTGATTGGTTGAAGGTGAATGTCGATGCATCTCTTCTTTCTTCATACAAAGCTGGTTTAGGAGGTGTTTTTCGGGACCATAAGGGAAGACTTTTGCTTGCATTTGGGAAGACGGCTTTACATTGGGATATTTTAGCATTGGAAATCTTGGCTACTATGACTATTAAGGAGATGATGAAGGATTGGATGTACAAATTCAAGGGTATCATCATAGAAGGTGATAATGATAATGTGATAGAGTATTTGCAGAAGGCTAAAGCTAATGGAGATCAAAGGTATGGTGAATTATTTATTGGGTTTAACAATGCTATTTTTAATCGCATTAATAGAGGAGCCAATAAGTTAGCGGATCTTTGTGCTAACTATGGGATTATTTCCTCTTTTATGTGGGATGAAACTACTATGGATAAGGTTCCTCCTTTATTTTGGAATATCTTAAAGGAGTAATCTATTGTACTTGGCTAGTTGCCTTTTTTTCTATTTTTCTTCTTTAATGCAATTTTATGCATTTTCTTCAAAAAAAAAAAAATACAAAGAATATTGTTGTGTTGCTCTAACTAGTATAATAATGATATTGACCTAACAATGTAGCTTTAGCAATAGTAATGTAGTGCTCAAAAAAGTATCATATTATAAAAGTTATGGAAGTACAAATTATTGACTACACTTCCACTATAACTATAAAAATATTGAACCAATGTTTTATAACTTGCCAAAATAGCGTTGAGGCCATCGATAAGGGTGAATAGCATTGTAACATTTTATGATATTGTGCTATAGTGGTGCAATCCAAAAATATAACTTTGAGACTTTTGCTCTGCAGTGTTCTGTTTGAATGCTATGTTGTTTAGTATTCAAATACTGCGGTGATTTAAATATTAATGTCGTGGTGCTAGTTTAATTGTTAGCATAATAAATTTTTTTTAGGATGCTTTAATAACCTAGTCAAAATCAATATTAATGGATCTCACAAATACTACCACAAAAATCATAAAATAAATTATAAAACAAAACATAAAAACATAAAAGTAGAATAATGTTTCCCTTTAAATAGTGTTAAATTTATAGTCTTAAGTCAAACTTGCCTAAATATGTCACTTTAGCTGTAATGAATCACCAACACTTCTCAAGTGGTCAGCACTATACTCTTTTTCTTTTATTTGGATGAATTTTAGTATTACTATGAAATGTTTCTTAAGGTTGACTAATAGAAGAGATTGCAAGCTATCTTAATTAATTTTCTATGTTTTTTGTTGAATCGGCCTAACTTACAACTAACTTAATAATTGAATCATAGCCTCTTCTAAAGGTTATTTTTTTACTCTAAATTAATTATTTTCATTATAACCTAGGCGATACAAATGTAAAGGATTTATATTAGGTTGCTGAAGATTAATAAGATTCTCTCCATGAATAGATTGACAAGTATTCAACTAATTATTACAACAAATATTATTATTTGACCTGTTAGAATTAGGATGGTTACTCCAATCTTGATTATATTTGTTGAAATATGTGTTATTTTATCTTCTAATCAAATTCACATTCTCAATCCCTAGTTCCTTACCCTCAGCAATAGAATTTAAATTATGTAAGTGCAATTGCACAAATGATCATGACCTTGAACAAACTTGAATAAAATCTAACTTTTTAAAATTATAGCTACCTGAGTAGCAAAAATTGAGAATGTATCTGATTCATTCACAACTACTACTCTCTTAGGATTCACCCTATAAGAAGGCCATTAGAAATTTATTTTAAACATTTCTTTAATTAATTATTTTGCTTCATCAAATGGCTTTGCTATTCAAGATCTTCCAATTACTTTATCTTTACTTGATCGAAGGGATTCTACCAATAAACTGCAAAAAGTCTAAATAACCAACCAATCTGGTGATGAATGGTGATGGAATTTCCTAAGCACTTCCTTAAGTCTCTCCACACTTTTATAAATTGACACTCCTTTAACGAAGCCAAATGATGGTATAGATTTCTTAGGTTTGGCTAATTTTGAAGGAGGGAAATACTTAGCTAGAAATTTCTATGCCAACTTATTCCTAGTGGTTATGAAGCTTCGGGAACAAGGAATTCAGCTACATCTAACCTTTTTCCCTTATACAAAATGTGAATAGTCTAAGTCTCAACATTATACTTAAATATTATACAATTTTCTTATAAGTTCGTATAGGTTGTTAAACCTAAAGCAACCAGCCTGAGGCTAACCAAGCTGGGGGGGTTTGAATTGGTTACTTTATAATTTTATTTAATAACATAATTTTTTTATTTCTTTTTGAATATCTAAAAGTAGAAAATTAAATCCCCTAATGTTGAAGCAGATAAATTTTATAACAACAAGAAAACAAAAATTTCAACCACATAGTTAATCATTGAAAAACTAAAGTGCAAAAAAGAATAAGAAAAAATAGACCATATTTTATAGTAGTTCAGTCAAACTTGACCTACATCAGCTTACCAAAACCCTCTATTTTAGATATTCCACAAAAGTAATGTCTCTCCTTTTGCCACCACGA